TACTGCGAGGAAGCAGCTTCACTGCACTAGGCAGATACACCCTAAACTCTAAACCCGAAGCTCTAACACGTCACTGCCTCTGTCGTCACCTACTAAGCCTAGTGATGCACATGAAAAACAGGGAACTGAGCCTGATATTTTTGCTGCAATATTTTCAACTAAAGTCAGTAGTCTGTCTACACTGCAGAGCTCTGTCTGTTGCTGTTACTGGCAAATCAAGGAGCGCGGCAGTATCCTACATATATGAATATTTTCAGAATAATATTTTCAGATTATATATAATGTCGACAGTTTGCATGTCGCCGCTAGCGTTTCAGTTGCGATGAGTTGAGAGTGAAGAGCAGCCCTCGAGCGGAGGGGCGTGTGAAGGCGTAGAAAGAAAAGCATATTCACCCTCTCTATTGAGCAGAAGAGTTTCTAGTTGTCGCCACCCGTCAAGTGCTTCCATAAGTTGAAATGACGAAGCAAACGAGTGTAAATACACCTGAACTATGCGGAAGTCGTGGACCATCCAACAAGATCACTTCTCAGCAAGAAATACTATTTTGTCCTCTGGTATGTCGAAATTCTTCTGAAGGAAAGCAGCTACAGTCTCCTCAACGTCGCCCTGCAAAGACGCCAAAAAGGAGAAAACAACCAAGCATAGTTTATCTCTTTGAACGCAACTCTCAACCAGCCACGCTGCATATGTTTCACCAGAGAAACCCGGGGATATACTACTCCAGTACTTGTTACAGTGACGCTGATGATGTGCATTGTGGGGGGGGGGCTAAACCCTAAAAACCCTAAACCCTAAACCCTAAACCCTAAACCCGCTACCAATACTACGAATTCTACAACTCCACCCACTTGAATTTCAACAAATGGCATCTGGCCAGGCTGCCCCTTCTGGAATGAAGAACCACAGGCAAAATGTTTACTCGCGAGTTTCGCCACCTGTTCTTGTTTGACGCCTGCAACAGAAAGCAAGAAGACGGTGGGGATTAGAATGTTTTCATGTTCACTTGTAACCAAAGAAATATAATTTCCTCTTCATATTCCTCTCTAATCAATGAAACATATTTCGCTAA